ATATATATAGTTTTAACTTGTATGCTTAGCAGAGGTCAACCAAGTCAGATCATTGTTGTATTTTGTACAGTTAATCTGATTCTGAAAAGTAACTAATTAAAGTTATCAAATGAGTGTAGTGGAGTGAAAAGTATAATATTTGCTTCTAAAATGTAGTGAGGTCAAAGTATGAAGTAGCAGAAAATGAAAATATTCAAGTAAAGTACAGATACCTCAGTGGTACTTTAGTACAGTACTTGAGTAAATGTATCTTAATTACTTTTCACCACTGTAAAAATGTAATGGCATTCTTTTAATTCCTACAAAGCTGTCTTTAAACATGCAAAACAGCTCTCTAATTTTATTAGGTCTCAGTATCCTTTAACAAAGACATGAAATACTGCAGTTTCGTAACATTTACCATGTTATTTCTAATTATGAAACACAATTTCTCTATTTTGTCTCTGTTGTACTAGGGCAGCTATAGCAAAAATTCAACTCCAAATCTGTTTACCTGTGTACTTTGTAGTACTGTGCTGGGAGATACTTGTTCAACAACACTCCAAAATGTCAGTCTGCAGACCAGGTGTTTGCTCAGTGACCTGGTTACAGACCTAGAGCAACTTCATTACATCCTCAAGCAGTGGCACCAATACAACTCCTTCAACCTGCGGACATCCACCTGTCTCCATGAGACAGCAGCACGCATCACTAAATATGCCACAGGAAGCGGTTTCATCGTGGCTATAGAGTGGCACAAGGCTGAAATGTCAGCCATGGGCACGGAGCGGGAGAAGCTGTGTTAGCTGCACATTAGGACACTAGCCTCACAGGCTGTCTTGTTTCTAATGGTTATAGTCATGAGTCAAATGCTGCCAAGCACGCACCATTATCCATTCTGCAATCAAGTCAAGTCATTAAGCTAGTTGGTAAGTTTTTGTTTACAGTGACAAAATCCAAACTGACAAGCTCATAAATAAAGGAGAAACAAACAGAAACCAAGAGATCGGGTAGAGAAGCCGAAGTTATCATCTGACTGAAGCGTCCAGCCTGGTCCCTGCTGGGAGGCATCTCTCTGCTGATTCAAATGAATGCATATCAAATAGCCTGGGAGGCAGCCTGTTGTGTGAGGCACACGTCTGCACAGATAATCAAACAGAATTTAGAAAGTAGGGCTTTGTAAATAACAGCGCTATGCGACACCAAGGTCTCTTTATATCAAATCCCTCACAAAGAGCCGATTCAAAACTTCCCGACACGTCTCACTGTTAAGACATGAGTGCAGGTGTCCCTGAGAATAAATTAACATATTTGCTGTTGATCCTTCAAGCTTTTAACTTGTGTTGTATTTTAACATGTTGAAGGGAAAAAAAAACCTCCTGGAGACTAAAACTGTTTAATTCAAGAGACATGTCCAGTGCTTTTCCTAGCAGCATAATCGGCTGTTTATCTTACATCCAACATAACGCATAAGCACACCTGCAAGTCCCTCGCCTCTTTTATTAGATGGATCACATGTACCAGTAAAATGTTTAGCAGTGAGTGTGGTAGTGTGTTTTTTTTTAATCCAAATGTCATCTCTTTCTTTAGGCTTTAACAAGTGATAATTAGGTTCTGAATCCCAGTTTGATAGATTTAAAATATGCTGTGATGATGGCAGACAGTGTGCTGTTCAGTGAGGTTTCATGCATGTTACCTGTGCTGCTCCATGGCCTGCCTTGTGTGCAGCTGAAGCCCACACTCGCCACAGCACTGTTGGCCCGTACCCTGGCCCTCGTGCCTCATCCCTGCTGCAAACTGGCCCAGCCTGCTGAGGAGCTCTCTGTGCAGTAAGCCTTGGTGCAGCAGGCCACTGTAGGCTCTGGGGTCCAGTGGCACGCCCAGGGACGGGGCCACTGAAACGGCCACTGGCAGCATCCCCTCCCCTGTGTGGTTGGAGGGTACAGAGTATATGGAGGCCAGATGTTTCTCGGCTATCCCGGGGAAACAGTCAAGAGAGTTTCCTACCACTTGTCCCCCATCTTCGGGGCCTGTGTGCAGCTCTCGAGCACTGGTAATGACGCTGCCTCTCTGCGGCGTCCCTGGGCCCTCGTCTCTGGGCTGGTCTGACAAACAGCTTCCCTCTCCGGTGCTGGAGGACCTGCCCTCGCAGCCACTGGCTTCATCCACCTGCATGCTTTCTGACTTTATACTTCTGTTAGGACCCAGAGAAGACGTCTGGGATAAGTCTGCACTGTGGCGCTGAGAGCTCTCCATGTCAACCTCCGTGTCCACTTTGGGGCTCGATTCAGGAACCTCCTCAGGCTTTAGACCAGGAGGATTCCTCTCTGTCATGTGGTACAGTGCCAAGTGGTGCAGAACAGTGGGAGAAGTGTAGTTGGGTTCATCCTGTATGGAATGCTTTTTGGACATCAACATGTGCCTCCAGTGCCGGGCCCGGCTGTGGTCGCTGTGGTCTCCGGAGCTGTGGTTCCTCACCACCGCCTCCTCGCTCTCCTCTGCCTGGATGGTCTCCAGCACCTTCAGGCACTGCTCCTCCAGGTACTCGATCTCCAGGATCTCTGCAGCGTACAACAGGTCATCCAGATCCTCAGCTGTGGCCTGAAGGGACGCGGTGTAGGCGTACTCCAGGATCTGCTGAAAGGTCTTAGGGGACAGGAAGTCCAGGGCGTAGCGCAGGCTGCTGCGGTGGAACAAGATTTCGAACATTTTGCTGGTGCAGGCCAGGACGGTGCGGTGTGCTGGGAACTCCTGGCCGTCCACTGTGATGATGACATCACACAAGGTGCCGGTAAGACGCATCTGATTGGCCCGCTGCAGAAGCGTGCTGGGGTGAGTGGGGTTGTGGAGCTGGAGTACACCCATGTTTGTCAGACCCGTATCCAACTCGGATCTTTGCTGAGCCCACGCATGAGGTGTGGCTGTCCTGCCCGCTTCTCTTGTCTTCAGCTGGATATAGGTCAGTGGTTTGGGTGGAGGGGGCAGGGGGGAGTACAGAGAATCGTTAGAGCTGGTCTCTCTTACAGTGTGATGGACAAGAGAGTTACAGTCCAGAGTACACTTTCTACCATGCTTGGTCAATAGGAACATTCTTAGAATATGAATAAAAAAAATCTCTAATTAAACATTTCAGTAAAAAAAAAACAACCCAACCCCATTTGATCTCTTCGGGGGTTTTATTTCATGCACCCTACATGTTTATTTATTTTAATTAAGAACCACAGGCAGACAAGTCGATAAGCCAAAGCAACAGTTTCCATTGCAGGTGATTAGTCTGGGGTCTTGTTGAGAACGGTCACGTCGCTGTAATAACGTCTGCATACTGAGAGGTGACGGTTCAATTTATCAAGCTCCACACACGCACACACTCTCTCTTTCTCTCTGTTTACTACCCCCCCACCCCACACACTCTGTCATACACTCTCAAACACATACACCCACACACATGCCCTCAACAGGTAGGCCTGCTATTAACAAACGCCTTGATGCGCTGATGAGTTCATTTAAGCTGCGCACGTCTGTGGTTAAATGTGTTCAATGCAATTAAAAATACCAAAAGAGTTCTCAAACTCTCAGATTGCTGAAGGCGTGAAAATGAAGCCCGATCTTGGCACCGCTTCGTGGTTTCTTTACATGTGAAGGTCTAATGACTGTGTGAGTGATGATTAATCTCTGTATGATGTTTATGTCGGACCAGCCGCAGCATCGTCAACTAACCGCAGTATCGGAGCGCATCAGGTGCAGACGCACAAATTCACCTTTATTATCCACAGACAAACACACAAATTAACCCTCACTACGCGCTTATTTATTGTGTGTACAGTGTCGGGGGGAACGCACGCTGTCCGAAAATAAAAGAACCAATTTATCCAAAGCAGTCTAATAATATCACGATACAGGCTGATCTGAGCCAAGTTTGGAAACCCCTAAATCAGGCTGCGAGCAAACTTGGGTCGATTTCCACATGTCGGCTGTCTGAAATTAAAGCATCCGGTCCATAATTGGCATTATTTCAAATATTCATAATTTAAATGACCCTGAGCCTGAAAAGTAGTTAATCGGAGCAGGATGACCAGAATAAAGCGACAAGAGCAGCGGCTGCCACAACTGTCCTTACCTTCCTCCTAACGTCCTCCGCTGATTATCCTGGCAACATCGTGGTTACACATTTCACAGTACCCGCTCCAAACTCAGTCTTGCTCCAAGTAAGCAAATCATCAACCAGCCACCACAGTCAAACCAGCAGGGGAAACACAAGACTTCCGAGTACAGCTTTCAAAATAACACCCGAGTTGCGAACCACGTGTTGAACTGGTCAGTGTTGTAGTTCTTATACTGGTCGGGAGAGATTTCAGGATCAAGCTTTTTGAACAGAAATGGGGGGGTGAGGAGAGGGTGAGAGAAATGTCTGGATCGAGGAGATTGAGACATTATAACTGCTTTCTTTTATTTCAACAGATAAGGGTTTGGTGGAAACCAGCTCCGATACCACTGTAGAAATACTGTGGTCTGAATGTGGCTGAGGGCCTTTGGATGCCTGTCCTGTTTCCTGTGAGTACTCTATGTATCAAAGGTGAAAACACCCCCCATGAGGTCATGGATCCAAGCACTTCCTGCTAATAGATTTCTTACTATTAAACATATGATATGATTTTACATTTTACTTATTGGCAATAACAATATAATTAAATTTTCATTCGTTCTGCCCTCACAATGACTAAAGTTATATGCAAAAGTACCAGCACTCCTGGGGAAACTACATCATTGGAAGTTTGGGGGTTCATTATAAATATGTAATGTGCACACTATAGACTAAAAAGCTATTTC